TTCCTGCCTTGCAATCTGTCTTTGTACATGATCGTGGATTAACAGTCACACTTGACTCCCGCTTGCTTCCAAATCTAGAACAAGCAATTTTCACATCAATAAATTTCCCATTCTTTTTTGAACGACGACTAGCTTTTATAGTGATCCCAAATCCCACAGAGAGCGCATAATCTCTATAGAACGCATATGCTGCCTCCTTCGTTTCAAATTTTAATCCATTCTGAGGCAAAGAGATCCCACCTTCACCAACCCCATCAACCCCCACACCACTCTCCTCCACCTTGTCCCCACCATTAATAACACCCTCAATTGCATTCAACCCACACGCTTCAACAACCTCTTCAACCAAACAAGAACTTGCAGCCTCATCAATACCGCGCAATCCACTAGCGCTATCCATGATACACTCATTTGTGTTCGCTCCAGACTCTAATTTCTCCTGATCACTCGTAGGCACTTCAAGATCTATCTCCATTGTCCAAACAATCAATTGTTCAAACAAATAACATCATCTCACTACACATACCTGAAATTTTCAAGAAATCAGCAAGCAGCAACATCAATACTAAAATTAACTAAGTTTCCACATTGATTACCATAAAAAATACAAATTCTTTAGCCCATTAACTTTCATTCTTTGCAAAAATGTATCAATTAAACACAAGCAAAAAAATCAACCAAAGAAACCCTTCTAGATAGAATTTCCAAAAAAAGTTTCCTTTCACAAAACCAACTTCACTCACTGTATAAATTTAGTATCTTATATTCCATTTTCCATAGTCTTTCCTCTGATTTCTTGGAAACCAAAGAGTATGTGACTTTAAAAGGAAATTGAGAGCATAAAATTGGATGTAAGGAATGAAAGCTGGGAATGACTGGAAAGCACCTGAACAACATAAAAGAAGCAGCAGTGATTTCTACAGAGAGGGTAGGGAAGTGCAATAGACCAAAAAAATCAGAGTGAAATGCCAAAAAAAGGAAAAAGGGAAAATGTTGAGTCGCAAACAGGAAAGGAATTTTCCAAAAGGGGAGCTCTAAAATTGAAGAATTGAAATGAAAGCAGAAAACTTTGGCAAAGGAGTCAAAGAGGCAATAAATCGGAATATAAGCGGCCGCGGCGGCGATTAATTTCTAAATCATCGTCAAAATAATGGCGACCGAAAAATCCTCGGGATTTACTCGGTAATTAATCGGGAAAAAGATCGGCAGTAAAATGACATCGAATTTCCTCACGATAAATCGGCAATTAATCTGGAAATCATCAGCGGGAGATGACGACAAATGGGGAGTGGCAGCGACTAAATCGCCAATTAAAGGAACGATTAATCACCAAATCCTCGGGAAGCGTCGCGATCAATATTCAATTCATCGAAGTGATTTTAATCAGAAATTAATCGGCGAAGTGGTGCTGTTAAACGCCGATTCATCGAGAAACGATGCGCTTAATTGGTAAGTGTTGGGGGAGCAGTCTCCAAGTAATCGCCAATTAATCGAAAGCTGAGAAAAAAAAAAAAAAAGAGGGACCAAAAAAATCCAACTCTGCCTTTCTATTTCTTTTACTATTAAATTGTCAGAATATGAAATAAATAAATAAAGAAATAAAGAAAAAAAGAGTGGAACTATTTAAAGATGAATTGAAATCACATGGAGAGCCCTCTACGAACGAATCGGACATGGAACAATGTTTGTAGACTCCAAAATCAATTACATGTATGCATGGTCTCAAAATAAAAGAACAACTAATGCATGCTATGCACATTTTAATAATTTTTTAAAAATATTTTTTATTAATTAAAATATTAAATTTCCCCTTACAATCACACATATAAAAAATCAATAGTACAATAACAAAAATACCCTAAAACCCAAGGCATAAGAATTTGAATTTCAAGGTTAATTAGGTCTTTTTACTGTGCTTTCTATATAAAAAAGTAAAAAATACCCCTTGTTTTTAATTAAAGTTTTTTATTATTATTAAAAGGTTAATAAGCAATTTTGTTATGCATTTTTACATGAAAATACAAAAAAAAAAAACTTGTTTTGAAGTTATATTACTATGGAAATAAAAAAATAAAATACTTGTTTTATCTTGATCAATTTTAAAATATTGTAATGGTTCTACTAAAAAACTAATTTCATCCTTAATTATTATACTATAAAAAAATTTTATTGACAATGTAGAAAAATGTTCTCATTAACAGTGTAATGTGTGTGTAAAAATAGAATTTTCTCCGTCCTTTCATTTTTTTTTTGTAGTACTATTAATTGACTCACACTGCATTGTTAGTCAAATTAAAAATTATTTTTTAATATAAAAAAAATGGAGCATATTCTACCCATTTTTTAGCTTGTTAAATTTTTTTATTGTAAGTTAAAAAGTTGATGTGTGTATTTAATCAAATAAGTAAATAAAATATGTAAATAAATAAAATATTATAAAAAATGTTGACACAAATCAAAAATTAAATGGAAAAGCTCAAAGATAAATATATATTAAAATATTTGATTTTATATTACATGTACATGTAGCTATTCAAATTTTTTATTGAATTATATGTTAATAATGTTTTCTATAAGAAAATTAATAATCAAATTTTATTGAAACAAAATAATTTGCTAGTATAATCCTTTCTTTTCTTATTAATCTATTTTTCTCAACCATGAAAATGTAGTTTTTTTGAACAATATACTTTATTTAATAAAAAACCGAAGGCAATTAAAGTGAATATCCAAAAGATTTTGAATGAGGATAAAAAAAATTTCTTTAATTAAAACATCTTTATTCTATTGATGAAATTTTTTTATGGTAATTTTTTATCATAATTTTTATTTTTTGAAGCAAGAAATTAACAAAATTATAGAAGAAAAAGTTAATTAAAAAATAATTATTATGTTGTGAATGTATTAAAAAAATATAAGAATAACACAATGGAACTTTCTGGAGCATATTTTTAATATCTGTAGAAAAGCCAAAAACACATAATTAAAAATAAATAAATACAAATCACAAAATGCTTTAAAAAAGTGCTCAATAATTTTTAAAAAATTATTGTTTTATTTTTTAAAATAATATTTTTAATATATTTTAAAATGATTTATATTCATGAAGTTTAATAAATAAATAAAAAAACATAACAAGCCGATTATATAGAGGCCATGCACCAGTGTATCTGACCCATTTAAAGAAAAAGATGGGCTCACTCACATGGTTTTTTTTACAAATATTTTTTTATTAAAAATAAAGATTTACTAAAAAAAAATAGATGACAGTTAGGTGTACAATTTCTTAGAATGGTTATTTTTTTTTAACGCATAAATTCATTTTTAATTTATTTTCACCTAATATTTATATTATATCAATAACCAATATTTGAAACTCAAAACACTTCTAAATTTGCTAAAAAACTAAAAAACAAAAATGGAGAAATTAATTCTCAACTCCAGTTTATTTTTTTTTGACAAAATAAATATCTAAAAATATCTTAATAAAACTTTTTTATTAAATAAAATCTATTAATAATAAAATCATTTTTTTATGTGTTGTTGAAATATGACTGACGAACAACCTTCTTGTTTCTTTATTAATGAGTTTTTTTATTTATTTATCTCTTAAATCTAAGGATTAAAAATAATAAATAAACTTTCAAATAAAATTTAAATGTTTAAATCTTTGAATTGGAGGGGAAAGGAAAATAAATGAATTGAAAAATACTTTTTTAATGAATTTGATGTTGGCTATGCATTTTTTTATGTTTTAAATTGTGATTCTTTTTTATTTTTTTTTTCTTTCTACCATTATTTAAACTTTATATCATAGAATTACGTTACAAAATGATTGTTTTTTTTTTTGAAAATATATTAAAATAATAATTTTTTTATTTTTAAAAAATTACTTTTAAATAAATTAATAAATAAGATGTCTTGGATTATTGTGCATTTATTACAATTTGTTCGTAGCTTTATAGGGCTATCCATCTGATCACTGCCTGACAGGAATTTTTGCTTGGAAGAAACCAGAAAACAAAAGGCAACATTCGAAGCGAAAGAAAAAATGATCACAGCAATGTTGAGAGAGAGTCATAATCTACAAAGACACATGCTTTACAAGGACCAATCTTCCATTTACATGAGAAGAGCTCAATCTGATTCAAATAAACTACGCATCCTGAGAATCTTGCTGCTCCTACATGACGTTAGGGATTTTCCACATTGCTCTCAGCACTTTCCTGATAAGAACATACACATCCAACAGTACCAGGAAAGAGTTGATAACGGCAGATCTACAACATCTGCCATGGACATGAAAAAGAACATTCCTCGTACACTCCAGCAACGAGGACAAGGCATCTGTCATCTCACCATCTGAAAAAAGGGAATCTTCTCTTTGAGCAGGATCTTCACGTCTCCAATTAGCTTAGGCAGATGGAGTGCCATGGCTATTGGCCTGGCATATATTAAGATCTGATTCCAGATAAACAGCTCTTGGACAAGAAATCCAGGGTCTTCTGCCTTCATTTTGGTGATTAACTTCTGGACTGTCAAAGAAACGACGCTCATAAAAAGAGTGCTAACCGTTTCCTGGAGTAAGCTTTTTCCAATAAATGTCATATACCTCCAGGGAAGATGACAGCCATCTCAGAAGGAAAACCATCATTCCAGCTGCTAATATGAAAGACCCTTCTTCCTTATGTGTCTGTTCAAGCCCTGCCATGCATAAGCTTAGATCTCAAATTAGAGTTATCCTGCAACTATAAGGCACAGCACAGCAAATATTGATGCCATATCCTCCAAAACTCACCTGCATGCTATAACTGAAACTAGTAGGAGGCCGAAAATCAAATTGCCCCTTGATGGAATGAATATAATCAGGCAACTGCTTCATCTGAAACCAAACTTCTCTGGAAATTTATTTTGTTATAAAATACTGTACCAGCCCATGCATGCTTTGCTGAGTCCCAAAAAACCCATCACGACTGGGTGCTATTGAATTCAGCTGTCTTTCTAATACATTCCAAATAGAAAAGCAATGGCGGGTATTTGGGAAAACTTCTTCAATGGCTGCCTTCAAGGTTTTGTCTACATCAGTGACTATAACTTTAGGTGCTTGCCCACCCATTGCTCTCAGCCATGTTTTCATTAACCAAACAAGTGTTGATCTAGATTCTTCTGCAATAAATGCACAACCAAGTAAGATTGGCTGACAGTGATGATTCACCCCAACAAAAGGCGCAAATGGAAACTTCTCGTGATATTTGACATAGAAGGTCTCAAAACAAACAGCATCCCTAAAGCTAATTTCTCAGGCGCTGCTCTTCATTCGGATCTATTGCATAGAAGTTTGCATTCTCCTTCTTGATGCATTTAAAATAATCAAGCACAGCTTGAGCATCCCACTCGTCCAGAGCCAAATACCGGCCTTTTCCGAACTGCGTATTCATCTCACTCTTTACAAACCCAGCACTTTGATACCCACCAGACTGCCAGGCATGTCAACATACATCTTTCTTGTTCGTTCACTGCCAGCATGCAATATATCAAAATTGTTTTTTTCCTGCTAATTCTACATCCCTATGAATTCGAAAATCATATGCTAGAGCCGGTAAGAGCTCATGATTATGCTCCTTGACAAATTCATGGATCATCCATTTGCCATTGGGGCCCTTACTCTTCACATGCATGCTGGCCTTGCAATCTTCTTCTTAACATTTGATCGCCGACTATTACCACTATCAGACTCTGGTGTAACTCCGTATCTAGAACAGGCAAATCTACCATCAGTAAACTCCTATGATTTCTGTGACCACCAACTGTTCTTTATCGAAGTGGCGAACCCCGTAGATTTTGCATATTCCTGATAAAATGAATATGATTCTTCATGTGATTGAAACTCAATGCCATCACATGGCTCAAAGTCTACATCCCCTTCAAACATATCAACAGCCCCTTTTGGAGAATTAACAGCAGCAGCATCTCTAATGCGCGTCTCATTCGCCACACCACCAATATTTCCCACCTACTACATCATCAGCAGGGGCATTATCTTGAAGATCGATCATATTATGAATATTCCTCTCCATCATCGTTATAACACATTCCCGTGAGGACAAAAAATCCACTCTTCACAGCATATTCTTTACAGTGGCACCTGAACATATGAAAAAGCGTGCAGCATAACATTGCATGAATTAATTAAATTCAAACAACAGCAGATGTTACCAAAAATAATAAAGCTACCCTTTTTCAGTTGAAATTCAATAAAATTCAGTACAGAAATCATTGCCAATTATTACATTCTTGATTATTCTCCATTCTCTGATCAGATGCTGAGAAAACTTTCAACCTTGATCTTCCATTCAAGGCATTAATTAATCTTACCAAAAAATAACAAAAAAACTACCATTTCATTCTCTACCAAATCAAATTCAATAAAAATCACAACCCATTAAAGCATTCTTATTCCCTTTCTACCTCCTACTTGGATCCTAAGAAAGTTTTCAAACTTGATATCTCATTCAGAACATTAACTAATGTTATTAAAAATAATAAAACCACCATTTTCCCATTCCGTAGTGAGTCAATTAAAAAAAAAAAAAAAACCTTGCCCATTAAAGCATTCTTATTCCTTTTCTACGAAATAATGTTACTAAAAATAATGTTACACCGAGTGATTTGGTCTAGCGGTAGAAGGAATTTGTTTCCTTCCACTACATATGGATTCGAGCCCTGGTGTACACGCTTATCACTTCTATGGTACCTTACATGTCTACTGGATTTGCAGGTATTCAGTAAACCGTGGGGATTAATCGTGGTGTGCACAAGCTGACCCAAACACTCCACGTAAATAAAAATAAAATAATAATAATAATAATAAAACCACCATTTTCCCATTCTCTACTGACTCAGATTCGATAAAAACCACACCCTATCAAACCTTTTCACTTCCTTTCCAATCCCTTCTCGTGGTTACTAAGAGGATTACTGTAAACACAAAATTCCACTTTCCCACACTTTCTCAGCAACCAAACAGACAATAAATACAATTGTCCACCAAAACTAAAGCAGAGAGAGGTTTTAGAGAAAGGAACATTGAGAGAGAGACAGAAAGATCCAGAAAATAAGAGGGAATCGTAGTGGCGCGTGAGAGAAAAGACCCGTCTGTGAAAAAATTAAAATGAGGGTTTTTCTTCTTCTCCACACTCGCTAGTAGGAAAAAATTGTCAAAAATCCACTCGCATTTTTCCACTCGCTTCCATCTGTTTCTTCTCGGCGCGTTACGGTTGTTTTTTGGTATGCAGATTCATTTCCATCGTTTGGGATTTTAATCGCTTCGTTCGTTAGTGCCACACGGCTGGCGCGTGCACTACAAGAAGTACTTTTGATTTGATTTTTTTATTACTATTACTATTGTTTTTGTTTGATTATGAATGATTGATTATTGAGTGATGAGCCCGACTTGTATCATGACCCGGGTTTTAACAGATTGACCGAGTTTTGAATTTGTTTGAGAAATAAATCCACGGTAATTTGTTTTTTTCCCAGAAACATATCTAGCTGTGTAAAACACGAAGTATATTCTAACAAAAGGCAAGAGTAAATAGTCATCAATCAACTGGGAAATGAGAACTGATGTTAGCTGATAAAGTATTCAGGTTGAAGAGGAATTACTACTATAATAGTACAACAAAGCTTTACAAGGGAGATTTTACCCCTATTAGAAGTTGTTCAACTGGTCTGCTATGGTGATATGCAGTGAATAAAAAAGCATCCTACTCTCTTATTTTACAAATACTACAGAGTGAGTTCCCTATATTAATCCCGCCATCTGTGATGCGTGATACATTTCATTGCTTACAGAAATCTCAGCTTCAGTGGAGATGAATCTTTCCTGCTGCATAACAAAATAGATATTCATTCTTCCTCGCCTACCAAGAAATGAAGCTGTTGTTGATACTTCAATTGCCACATGATTCAAGAAACTGTTTCAAAATGTGAACTGCCTTACAGTGAGAAAATTGTTCCTCATGCATGCCTGGATCCATCATCATGTAGCTGCGCTGTTCTTACATTGGGGTCGTCCTGCTATGAGAAAGTAAACCAGTTTTAGGAATATTTTGCAAGTGAAAATAGCATACTCGGAATGAATATCAAGACTAGAAAACTGACCCTGATGCTATAAGCGAATCCAGTTGGTGTGCGAAAGAAATCCATCTGTCCCTGCAAGTTCTAGAAACAGCACAAAAATCTCACCATTTGCAGGCTGTAGGAGAATGAAATTACTGGCTGCAGGATAAGATACAATACCAGCCCATGCATGCTTTGCTGAGTGCCGTAATAACCATCATGGCTTGGCGCTATTGAGTTTAACTGTCCCTAAAATTATGAAATCCATATTTCAATAGTCAAATCATATCTGATGCTTAATTACTGGACAGGACCGATAACACATTAAGCATTCACACAACATTTAATACGGCATACCAGGCCCTGGATGGTCTGCTGATTGCTGTAGTAATTATCACGTGTTGGAGCCATCAAGTTTAGTTGCACCTACAAAAACGTATAGCCCAAAATGAGATGGGTAAGAAATTCATTTCACTACATTGTCATGAGCGTATAACCACATTCACAAGCAAACTTACCATTCCTGGCACTCCCTGTTGTGTTCCATAATAGCCTTCTAGGGCTACTGCTCTTGAACTTAATTTGTCCTAGAAAATCAAATCAAGTTGCAGATACTCAGTAGCAGTTAGATCAAATTGACTAGCGCATTCACTTGCATACTAAATGAGGAACAACATGACCAACCCAGATTCATGTACGGCCAACCTAAAATGAAGGTCATTGATTTTATTTTATTTTTCTATTTTTTGCAAACATATAACATCTTCAATTGTAGTAAATTCAATGTGCCAAGTCAATACAAATATTTCGTTCTTTTTTTTCTGGTTGTTTGACAAAGTGTAGGAAGACAAACCATTTGTTGCAAGCTATCCTGTGGCCCATCAGGCGTGATCTCCTGCTCAGAATTCACCTGCAGTTATGGAGGAGGTCATTTTTTATGTATACTATTACAACATAAGAAATCAGCATTCATATTCATTATTGACCACCAACCTTTCTTTTCTTGGTTTGATTCTTTTTCTTATTTGTCTTAGTCATACTCCTATTTTGGCTATCATCTTCAATACAGAGCAGATCATGAGTGGTAGATGTACCAGCTTCCACCAGACTCTTGTTAGAATTATTCATGCTGATGCAGTTTCCAAAAACTTCTCCTAGAGCACGAAAGGCAATATTGTAACTCTCTTGAGATAACGAAGCCTCTTCACTCAATTTCAGAGCTCGCTGGCACAAGTCATTGTACCTTTGCACCCTAGATTGAACCTTTTCAGATTCTTCCCCTAAAAGATGTTTGCTCTTTGCTTCTTTTGTCCACCTTTTCAAAATATATTGTGATGGGATGGCAGATTGTTGACACATTTGAAGAACAACCAGAGCATGCCTACAAAGAAAACCCTTATATTCATATAGTCGGCATATACATGAGACCTCCAACCTCATTTGATTCCACAAAACAGTGAAATCTTGATGCTTCTCCAAATCCTGAACTCTAAAACTAACGCTGATCTCATCTTGGCTTTCCATTTTGGGATGGCAGGCGACTACACCTAAGACCTCAACTTGGAATTTCTTGAATACTGCATGTGTGTACACCCCTGAAACACTCTTTTCCAAAGGCGAGGGAGATTTCAATGAAGGTTGCTTGTTCCATGTATCAGAATCTGCTTTGGCTTCCTCCTCATATCTATCTTGTAGAATTGGTTCATACTGTCTCACAAATTCCTGCACAGTTGTCTTCTTATGCACATGCTTATCAAAGTGGGAGTTTGTGCTCTCAGATCGCAGAACTGTAGACATCCCAGCCAAAAAGGCACCTCTCATGTAGATTGGCACCCATTGCTCACGATCTTCATACAGTGATTGCATCCATTCATTCTCTCTGAGTTCAAATCTGTCAAGAATTTTCCACCACCTTTTCCCAAACTCATTCTCTGTCCATGATCTGAAGATGCATTTATCAAATTTGGCCATGAAGTTTTCGTTTTGTTTTATCACGCTTCCCAGATTTTCAGAGACCTTCCCCAGAATGTTCCACAAGAAAAAGCAATGTTGAGCACTTGGAAAGACCTCTGAAATTACTAGCTTCATGGCTTTATCTTGGTCAGTGATTATAACCTTTGGGGTCTGTCCACCCATTGCTCTGAGCCAAGTCTGCATTAACCAAGAATAAGTAGCTGCACTTTCATCTGATATCAGGGCACATCCAAGCAACATGAACTGATAATGTTGGTTCACTCCAACAAAAAGAGCAAGAGGCATCTTATACTTGTTTCTGACATATGTGGTGTCAAAAGATACAACGTCAGAGAAGTTACCGTAGTCATGCCTGCTTTTGGCATCAGTCCAAAACAAGTTCTTCAAACATTGATCTTCACCCAAATCTACGGCATAAAAAAAGTTGGAATTCATATTTTGCATCTTGGTGAAAAAATCAAGCAAAATTTTGGTATCCCCAGCTTCAAGTCCCAAGTTCCGGCCCTTGTCAAATGAATTTTTAGGGTCATTCTTGAGACCAGCAACATTTTTATATTCCGCAAACTGTTGAGCCATTGCGGCATACATCCTTCTAGTTTGTTCACTAACGGCTTGGGCAGGTAAAAGACCATGATTGTGCTCCTTCACAAAACTATGGATGACCCATTTTCCATCTGGCCTTCTCTTCACATGCATGCTTGCCTTGCAGTCTGTCTTTGAACACGATCGTCGGCTAGTTCCATTTTCTGGGTCTTGCTTGGTTTGTCTGGAACGTGGCCGGTTAAAGGACTTGTCATACTCTCGCTTCGTCCCATACCTAGAACAAGCAAATTTCGCATCAATGAACTCCCTCGATGTTTTTGAACGGCGGCTGTTCTGTATCGCAGTATTAAATCCCATAGATCGAGCATATTCTTGATAAAACGAATATGCTGCCCCATGTGATTCAAATTCCATACCAGAAAGTGGCTCAAGATTTGTGTCCTCTTTGAATGTCGTTGGAGTGGGAGAATTCACATCTCCACCTTCTATAGAAAGTATTTCCTCTGCGACATCAACAACATTTCCAGTCTCTGCATCTCCATTATGCAGCTTGACTTCACTCAACATATTATCGACACCATTTGGTTCTTCACCTTCCTTATCATGATCACCAGAAGGTAACCTAAGATCAATGTCCATGATGAGACTTGACAACAGTTCTTACAACCACTGCTGTCAAGGCACCTGAAGAATTGACAAAAATTAACATTCAAAACACTATAAAATGGACATATGCATGCATAAACAGCAACAAGATGGTTTTTCGCCTGTGCCAGTACAATACCGTTTGCTTTGTATCTTTCTAATTGCCACACGATAGCTAATAAAACTTTCTTGACACAATTTTATACAATTTTAATCCAGGCCAATGGTAAAACTATAGAGGATGCTATCAAGAAGATGCAGCTTCTAGTCTTAAAAACACTTGCTCCATATGCAAAGCCTCTCCAAAACCACTTCCCCGATATCTCACCTTAACATGACCATAATTCAGCAACAGCTCTTTTATTCTTCTCATCTTAGCAGATACCGAAGAAAAATAACCGTGTTCTAACCAAAATAATTTAAGCACTAAATTCAAGAAATTATAGCTCAAGAAATCCTCCCAAAATCATTAAAGACAAAACAAATTCTAACCTTGACCCAACAATCCAATTTACCTTCCCTTTCCCTTACCTCAATTTCAGACAAAACTAAGTACTTCGAACACCCCACCACACCACAACGTTAAAACCCACCAACGTTAAGCTTTACCAAATTTAAAGAAACCCCCTCATCCAAAACACAAAATTTTTCAAAAAAAAATAACTCAAAAGCCAGAACCCACCCCTGGAAATGAGTAAAAATTGTTTAAAAAAAAGGGGGGGGGGGGGGGCAAGAAGCTTTATGATTAAGATTACCTATAGAGCTTCTTCTCTCTTTCTGTGCGTGTTGGGTTCGATCTGTGAAGTTGCAAGGTGAAAGCTCACGCGAGGGAGGTGAGCGAGTGGGAGATTGAAAGAAAATTTTCCTCAATTTTGATTCTCTTTGGTTTTAGGGTTTCTGGTTTTTTTTCACTCTCGCTTTGTTTGCTATGTTTCTCAATCGCGAGTGAGATACAGAGATCGCGCGTGTGCAGGCACTCTTGTGGAGGTGGTTTTGGTCCTTTAATTAAAGGTAAACTGTATTTGTAGTAATTTCAATCCAAAATCCTTTCGAACCCAAAATAACTAAAAACTCTTGAGTTAGATCAATACAATCTGTGAGTAATTCTTAATTTAACCACTATATTAACTTTAATTTTAAAAAACCCAAGTCTATTAATAGTATAAATAAAAAATTATTGATTTAAATATTTTATTTTTTCTTCTATTTTGAGCCTAAAATTAGAAGTTTTCAATGTACGAGGACCAGTTGAAATATTTTTAAATTTTCAGGAGTTAAAATATAAGTTATCCTTTAGTGACCTTCGACTGCTACCCATGGCGGTGCGAGGGTTTGGTGCTTTCCGTGTCTGCCGTCGTCCATGATCTTGCGGTGATGAGAGGATGGTGTCCCGGTTAAGGATGAATAAAACCAGCGGTGAAAATTTAGTTCCTCGAATACACACACACACACACACCCACACACACACACACACACACACATATATATATAATTTAATGAAACTTGGCGGACGGGTTATACGCTGGATAAGGTAATCTAAATCAATTAAAAGATATTATTATTTTTTAAGTTAAAAATAAATTATTGTAAAAAACAAAATTTAACTTGAATTTTAACAGATAGATTATAATTCAGTTAAAATTTTTGATGAATTGCAGTAATAAAACTCTTAAACAATTTTTAAAAAAAAAACTTGATTTCTGATTTTCTTACACTAACATGATATTAATATTGAATCATGGCGTTGAAAAAGAAAAACATATTTTTTAATTTTAGTATTTATTTAGAGTGTCAATACAATTATTTTTTAAAGAATTTTTTATATTAAAATATATTTCTTTATTTTTTAAAAATTATTTTTAAGATTAACATATCAAAATGATTCAAAATATAAAAAAATAATTTTTTATAAAAATTTAAAATTTTAAAAAATATAATTTATACTGGGTTCTCAAATAGATTTTTAATATTATTATTAATTTATATCTTGAGATGTTGGATGCATAAATTTCATCTTCAATAAAGTTTTTTATAATTAATTTTTTTATTTATCTCCTAAAAAATATCAAAAATATTAAATTCAGCATCTTCTACTTAGTAAGTTAATCTGAAAATTCAACTCTCGATCTAAATTAAATTTTTTTAAATTAATTTAAAATTAATTTGATTTGACTCATTAACCAAATAGTTCAGGCCACTCAAAATTTAATTTTTTAAAATGATAATTTTTTTATTCACCCGACGGGTAATAACCTTGGAAATTAGCTCGACAATGAAGAACAAAGGATAGATGCAAGATTGGTTTGACAACTTAGAGTCGTCGAGGGCCAGCCATTACTTTCCGCCAGAACATGGCCTCCTCAAGCCAGCCTCGGAGGAGGGGGCTGTCCACTTCAATTTTAATGCCACCATAAAGTCGAGAGGCCTAACCTCCACCATTAAAATACCATTGCCTCTTTCTAAATATTGCAAAACGAAAGATTCCAGCTTACCTACTACACAGCACGCGTACACATGGAATGATTTTATTTTATTTTATTTTATTTTATACCAAGTTAAAGACATAAGACATTTTTTCTTTTTCTTTTTTATGAAAATGAAGTCCCTCTTGATAAGCCTTCAAGCTAATACATTTGCAAGAACTGTTTTTGTAAAGTATGATACTAAAACCTAGATAAAATACGAGGATTAGATTCACTTAGTAACATGGCTAAATTATCAAAGATTTGATAAATTAATAAATTACAAGGTGTAAAACATTAAATATTATTTCTCTTGATGGAGCAGCTAAGGAAGTGAGAGAAAAATGAAAGTGAAAATAAAATAAAAATTATTTTTTTCCCGTCATTCACCTATCTCTTTTTTAAATGGATCATACTTGCTCCTCGACACTATACTTTTTTTCAAAAAATAAAAATAAAAATCTAATCATGAACATTCAAATGATCTGTTAGGTGTTTCTGTTTTTTTTTTTTTTAAGATGATTTTAGGTACATACTTCATTATTAAAAAAATGATAATTTGGTAGATAACAACCATACAAGACATGAAAATAGTCATTCATTTACCAAGACTGATTGATTTTCTTTTTTTTGCTGTCTGTCAACGCTTTAGTTTTGTTTCCTTTCGTCAGCTTGTGTTGTCCTTCTAACAGTTCCTCGCCTTGACTTTGTGTCACATTCCTCTTCTCTTTCTCTGTTTAACTTTTCCAAGTGCTCCATCCCTGCCTTCTTTCTGAATCCCTGGGCCTCTCACTTTGTTCCTTTCTTTTCACTTTTGCTGCCCACTTTAGCTCTTTTCTTTTTTGTCCCTTCATTTTAGTTAATGATAGCGGCAAGGCAAGTGAGACGGAGGCCTAAACCCGATTGAACCTTACTGTTTCTTGATTTGAAAAGGGTCTTGCATTTATCTTGGTATCTGGGTTACTGCAGTTGAGAGGAAAGTTCCTTTCTTTTGGGGTTTCTTTTCTCTTTCCAGCAAGAGTTTTCAGGCTGTGTTTAGGGTTTTGGCCTTTTCTGGGGTTTGAGTTATGGTGAGGAAACATGGATGGCAATTACCAGCTCACACCTTTCAGGTATGACCAGAAAAACCTTCTATTTTTTAGACTTTGAGGCTGTTTCTCAATTATCAAGCTTTGTTTTTACTCATTCAGCAGTGCTTAGCTTTGCTCAAAAAACTGATCTTTTCTTCTGGGGTTCTCTAAAAAATGCTAAAGAAGTGATCTTTGTGCATTTTTTTTAATGTGGGCATAAGAAATTGGCTTATGTTGTTTGGCATTTTGTAGTTACTGAATTTATGAGTGTTTTCATAGGTCCCATGTAGTGATACTTTATGTGGTAAATCTTTTTTTTTTGGTCTTTGATAGGTTGTTGCAATCACTGTCTTCTGCTTATTGGTGATTGCATTTTATGCTTTCCTTGCTCCTTTCCTTGGAGGCAAAATCTGGGAGTATGTGCTTATCGGGACCTACACTCCAGTGGTATGTGAATTTTTTTTCATTTCTGTGTATCGCTAAGTTTGTTTCCCTCATATGTTCTGGAGATATTTGTGACATGGACTGAAAATTTTGGTAACGTTTTAGCGAATGAAAGCTCCAATGTTTCGGGAATAAATTGTCCTGCTAGCATTGTTCTAAGTGCTGCCGGTGATAGTCCGTTTTAATGGATTTGTTTTGGTTGCGTGACACTATATGTCCTCTGCATCGTATGTCATGGATCACTTTAGTCTTCTTATTGTACTAACTACTGTTCTCTAAAGAAAAAAACATGTCTAAGATTAAGAATAACCTTTATGGCTGGTGTTGTTTTCTTGATCCTTGTTGTGGATATGCAGGTGCTTCTTGTCTTTATTCTATATGTTCGGAGTACTGCAATTAACCCTGCAGATCCCGGCATTATGTCTAAATTCAATTCCGATGATGTAGCAAATAAACTCAATGTGAAACATGGGATGTCAGTGAAGGATCTGCCTAGGAAATTTCATGAAACTGGAAGTGCAATGCATTCATCTTTTTCTTCACCTTCCAGAAGTTCTATAGGTCCAGCAAACTCTAGTAAGAGAGGGTCAGTGGGAGAAATTGAGAGAGCGGAGACTGCAGGGCAACCTCCATCCAGAAAATCTTCTCATAATGTTGGTTTAATTTTCTGTGCACTGTTTGTTCATGAAGATTGCCGCAAACAGGAAGGGATAGCTGAGCAACAGAGCAATGGTGAAGATGCGTTGTTCTGTACATTGTGCAATGCTGAGGTATTGTGCTGTAAAAAGTGTGGTGTCTCTTATTTTGTTTGTGGTCTTAATTTTCCCTTTTTGGTTGTGCGTATGGTTATCACTGTGGATTCAGTTAGCTATACATCATTCTATGTGATTACATGCACTCAATATATACCACACAGTCCCGTCCTCCAACAATTCTGCCAATTGCATGCACCCCAAACAATCTCCAGTGTTGGCTGCATGCTGCAATTATAGCATTAGAGAACAATACTGGCTTTTCCAGATATTAACCATGGCATCTTTAAATTGCAGGTACGCAAGTTTAGCAAACACTGTCGAAGTTGTGATAAATGTGTAGATGGTTTTGATCACCATTGCCGGGTATACTTTCATCTTGTTTCAAGCGGTCTTTGCAGGCACACGTCTTGAATTATCTTAAACTGGTTTGAAATTCAACAAAAGATGATTTCCTAAAAAATAACCAAATCTATGGTGTGACTGCAGTGGCTCAACAATTGTGTGGGGTACAAAAACTATGTGACTTTTGTTTCTCTAATGGCTATTAGTCTTGTTTGGGTATGTGCTATACTCTCTAACTTATATGTGATTTTTATTTCTCATACTGTTGTGGCTAGTTGTTTCAACAGATATATGTGGTATTCTTGGCAATTTTTATTCTATAAAAACTTTTCCAAATGGTAATATTTTTGCGCTCATGTGGTGAAGCTGGTACTTGAAGCTGGAGTTGGTATTGCTGTCTTTGTACGTTGTTTTGTTAACAAGCAAAGCATGAAGGTTGAAATCGTCGATACACTTGGGAATGGTTTCTCTATAGCTCCTTTTGCAACAGTTGTGGTATGTACACAATAACCGTTGACTGAAGCTTGTTCCTTATAGTTCATCTCAAAATCATCAAGTTTCTATTGCTGATGCTGGATTTCAACTCGTGCAGGCTGTGTGTACTGTAGTTTCAATCCTAGCATGTGTACCTCTGGGTGAACTTTTCTTTTTCCACATGATATTGATTAGAAAGGTTAGTGACCAAGAGACTGGTTGCTATTTTCAGTTTTTTGTGCACTTGTTGATTGCTTTTAAAATGGATGAGAAGAAGTAAAGATTGAAATTTAGAACCTTATGTGGCAATTTCAGCAGTCTAATCGTTTTCATTTCTCTGTTTTGTTAAATTAGGGTATTACCACCTATGAGTATGTTGTGGCCTTGAGAGCAATGAGCGAGGCACCTGCTGGAGCATCTGTGGACGAGGAATTGCCAAACA